AAATTAGAGATCAAAATCGAGCCCATATGTTAGGAATAAAATTTTAGAATAAAAAATAAAGTTAAGTGACACGTACTCTGTAAAATTTCTAAACGCAGACAGAAAGATTTCTACACAAAATTTCTACACGTAGACTGCAAGATTTCCACACAATTTCTACATGTACACGTACCTTGGAAGAGTTCTGCACGTAGGCTATAGGATTTCCACATTGAACTATAGGATTTCATGATAAAGTACATATAAGGGAATAGGTGAAGCAAAATAGTAAGGGGCATGGATAATGTATTTTGTTTAGGCGATCCTGATAAGATTGTAACCTCAGAGGAGGGGCCAAGGGTCGGGATGGAATGTATATAATGTGTGTTTTCACTGTGACTAGGTGTAGCTCAAATATTTATTTGGAGTCCACCACGCTTTGCAAACCGTTGTAGCCAATAAATCTCTGTCTAATTTCAACTTGCTGTATGGTGTTATTCAGTGGGCTAGAATTTCTACCAACACATATAAAAAGAGTTTATAATGTTTTGGTGGAATTGGATTCAGAAACAATTAGTTAAGGATTGTATGGTTAAGTGGGCTCAAAATTTTGAAGAGCCAATTCTATTAGATACATGGGAGATAATTTGGGTTAGGAATGTTAAGTTTACCCAAGCTCAAAATTTACGAGAAAATTTTTATAAAATGTTTTATAGATGGCATCTTGATCCACAAAAGATGTCTCGTATGTATTCTAATTTACAGCCCAAATGTTGGAGATGTGGTTGTATGGATGCAACTTATTATCATATTTGGTGGTCTTGTAGAAATATAAAGGCTTTTTGGATTAAGATTTGGTGGAATATTCAAAAAAATTTTAATAGAAGGATAAAATTTACACCACAACTATTTTTATTAGGTATTATTGAAGATTGTGATAGTAAAGAGATTATTTTAATGTTGAATTTTATTACGGCAGCAAGGTTATTTATTGGGCAATATTAGAGAAAAAACTCCTTGCCTACCTTAGAGGAATGGTTTTTTAAAGTTTCTTATTTATCAGAAATGGCAAAAATATCAGCTTATCTGAAAGACCATTCACAAGAGATACAACTCTGTATAGAAAAGATGGGTAAATTTTATTCAGAACAAATATGGGATTAGAAAGTATTATTTAGCTTTTGAATAACTTATTGTATAAAGTTGTTATATTTAGATTTGTTGATTTTATTGTAATGGAGTTAAAGGAGTTCTAAAATTTTTTAGGATTTATGTATAATTGATTGATGTTTATTTAATTTTTTATGTTCTTTTTTGTTGTTTTTAGCTCTGTACTCAGCTCTGGGAAGGGGTGGAGGGCTAATGGGAGGGGGGAGGGAGAGAGGTGGGGAGGGATTTTATTGTAAAATGTTTATAAAAATTTCAATTAAAAAAAAACCTCTCTAAATCTTACAATTTTATGACCGAGTTCTTGTCGCTCTAGAGAACAATGGTGGTGGCTGCTTTATGCTTTGAGGCTGCTTTTCTTCACCTGGAACTGGAGCTTTAGTCAAGGTGGAGGAAATTATGAACAGTTCTAAATATCAGTCAATTTTGGCACAAAACCTTCAGGCCTCTGCCAGAATCCTGAAGATGAACAATAATTTTGACATTCAATGACGCAGAGCATACTTCCATGTCAATTAAACAATGGCCTCACCAAAGGAAGATCAAAGTTTTAGCATGGACCAGCTAGAACCCGGACTTGAATCCAACTGAAAATCTTGGGGTGACCCTCACAATCTGACAGATTTGAAGCGTTTTGCAAGGAAGAGTGGGCAAAGATTCCCAAGGCAAGATATGCCAGGCTCTTATCTCAAACACCTGCATGCTGTGATAAAATCAAAAAGAGCTTCAAGAAAAAATTAGTTTATAGGTGTGCATCTTTATGAAACCATGTTATTGTAAGTTTATTGTTATTGTTCCTCATAAAATATTTGTTATACAATTGAATTGTACAGTTTTTAAGTTAGATTAAAGGTGGAAACATTCTGAAGTGATTTGTCTTGGTCTGAATTACTTACATCCCAAAAAGCTGGCATTTTACAAGGAGCGTGGAGACGTTCTCTATGCCCTGTATATCCTGCGGGGTTCTGGGGATAAGATGATATATAGTAGAGAGAAAATATACATGCCTACAAATGTGCATATGTAGAAATTCCATGTGTATTTTAGCCTGAAAAATGTCCCAAATTTAATACTGTCAAACCTTCTGAGCTAACTTTAGAGATGTGAGGGCTTTAACCGATGAAATGATGCCTAAAGCCTTTGCAAGATTTGAAGCATCAGTTTTGCCAATGGAAGCCCTCAGCTCCAAATAAGGGCAGAAAATACTGCCCAAAACTCCTGTGGGGACATCCCCATTTAAGTAGTCTTCACTTACTAACCATATTTGGGACTGGCATCTGTGTCACTAAGCAGCCCGATCATTAAGCATGATGTCACATGACAGTGCCAACTTACATCTGCTCCTCTGCCGTTATTAAGCTAATCACTAATCTTAAAGGCACTTTTACGTGACTGACTGGCAACATCTTACTGGCATCCCCTTGTCAGAGGTTGGCTGGGAAGGTCACACGTGGGATCATAAACGTGCACTGATTGGCAGCACTCAAATTGGTGCAACTCCTTTTCCTGCACCTACAGAACCTCAGGAAGTGTGGTCACTGAAGAAGTGCCACAATGGCCACAAATTTGTGGACCAGGTACATGTCTGCTTTTACAGTGCCATAATAATTATGAAGGCTCAGTGAGCAAATGGTAAGCGAGGACTTCCTGTACAACTGAACAATCCAAAGGTCCCCTGTTGGAATACATGTTGGAATGTATTTTGTATTGCAACAACTACCAAATTATTCAGTCAGTAGATGGCAGTGTTTAGTTTGCATCTACACTTATAATCTATGGTTCTGTTTGTTCCGGGTTTTCCGTGACAGTTAAAACGTTAAGCAGTAAGGCCCATGGTAACTGTACACTTTAATTTTCATTTGATCTGTATGGCCATGTAACCAACCTCTGCTACTAATCTGTATGGCTATATAATAATCCTCTGCTACCAGTTCTACATAATAAATCAGAATTTCTAACATCCTCAATGCTTTTTTTTATACAGTACTGGGTTAACCATAATTGAATCTGGTTAACACCCTAATGCGGCTCCAAAAGGAAATATTGTGCTTGTTAGCTAAACATGGAAGTAAAAGAAATCAAAATCCCAGGAGAGACCCTTAAATATTGCCATTTGATAGGAGCTAGGAATTGAGCCTTTTCCATTGCAGACTTCTTCTCCCTGAAGTTTGGCAGACCTTTATCCTTCTAGTCTTCCGTCAAGCAGGGGAGATCTAGCTGTTCCCCATAGCACTGGGATAAGAGCCACCTGCAGACCAGAAACTTGATTTGGCACTAGGTTTTTGTTTATATGCATTCGGTTTTAATAATTAGTTTATTGATTAGCCCATAGGCCATATCAGAATACAGAGTTCCAAACATCAATTATTAATAAAATCCTATAAAACAAATTAAAATGAAATTAGAGTAAAATACAAGAATTTGATAATATAGGGATGAACGTGCATCAGAAGCTTGATTTGGAACCAGGTGTTTGTTTATATTAATTAAATTTATGTGCCTTTAATCCTGTGGTGAAGTTCTTCAATTTAACTCCTTGCAAGATGAAAGGTAACCAGTTTTGAGCAAGAATGGCACCAGGCACGAATATAATTAGTAAGGCCAGGAGGCCTGGTTACATCTAAATTGAACAAAAGCAATTTTTGGAGATTCCTGGACTATCAAATTGTCATCAGCCTTGCTAGAAGTGCCCTGTATTTGCAAGGAAGTACGTTTTAAATGCTGAAGTTTTGCATTTTGCCATTTGCTATATATGGGGTTTATTGCTTTCTGTATTAAGGTTTTATTGCTGTAAACCTTGTGGAGTCGTATGAATTGGCCTGCCATGTACACCTTCTTACTAAGTACATACATACATATTTATATCCCCCTTTATTATATATAGAAATAACTCTCTATATAGGTGGGAAATATAAATACAGATCCAAGCTTGCTTTTTCTTGCCCAGCAAAGCAGTTCCCCTCCTTGATGACCTCCAAGGTGCCTTCCAACTTTATTATTATTATTATTATTATTATTATTATTATTATTATTATTATTATTATGGATCATCACACAGTCAGCCAGATGTTCAAACTGGATCTGGCATTTTGTCTACTTATCGAGTCCTTACGCAGGACCTGGGATAGGCAGATGTGGATGTTTGATGGTATTACAGGTATCGTCGCAGGATGGAAGCAGTTCCTAGTAAGGCCGCCTTTTGACTAATAGCGAATTTGTCAATGCCAATGGTGTTCAAGTGGTGCTCCAGTTGTTTTGGGATTGCACCCAAGGAGCCTATTACTATTGGTACTACCCTTGCTTGCTTTTGCCACAGTCTTTTTATTTCTATTTGTAGGTCTTTGTATTTTGTTATCTTCTCCAGTTCTTTCTCATCTATTCTGCTGTCTCCAGGCACTGCCATGTCCACTATCCAGACTTTTTTGTCTTATTATATTATTATTATTATTATTATTATTATTATTGACTACTGCACTGCGCCAGAGAAAGGAAGCTCAGATCAGAGGCCTACATGCTAAAACATATGAAGAACAGTTACAAGAACCGGGCATGGCTAGTCTAGTGAAGAGAAGGACCAGGGGAGACATGATAGCAGTCTTCTAATATTTGAGGGGTTGTCACAGAGACGAGGGGGGTAAACTTATTTTCCAAAGTATCTGAAGGCGAGACAAGGAACAATGGATGGAAAATGATCAAACAGAGATTCAACCAAGAAATCAGGAGACATTTTTTGACACTAAGAACAATCAATGGAACAGCTAGCCTTCAGAAAGCTGTGTGTTATAAGGGAGTAACTTTGTTTGAAACAATGTCTGCAATCTGAGTATTCCAATGGTTACTCCACTATGTGTAGCCTTACATGATTTATAAGGCTAGACCTACTACTGAAATCTTTCCCACAATCCGGACATTCATACGGTTTCTCTCCTGTGTGAGTCCTCCAGTGTATCACCAAATGGGAATTCCAACTAAAACTTTTCCCACATTCCAGACACTTATACGGTTTTTCTCCGGTGTGAGACCTCTGATGTTTCACTAGGTAGGAATTCTGACTAAAGGTTTTCCCACATTCTGGACACTGATACGGTTTTTCTCCCGTGTGAGTTTTCTGGTGTATCATCAGGTTGGAATTCTGACTGAAACTTTTCCCACAATACAGACACTCATATGGTTTCTCTCCTGTGTGAGTCCTCTGGTGTCTCAACAGCTTGGAATTCCAAGTGAAACTTTTCCCACAATACGGACAATCATACAGTCTCTCTCCTCTGTGATTCTTCTGGTGCTTCACCAGTTCAGCCTTGCAACTGAAATGTTTCACACACTCTGGACACTCATACAATTTCTCTCCCGTGTGAGTCTTCTGATGAATCATCAGGTTGGAATTCCGAATGAAACGTTTTCCACAAAACAAACATTCATATAGTTTCTCTCCTGTGTGACTCCTCTTGTGTATAACCAGATCAGAATTCCGACGGAAATTTTCCCCACAATCTGCACACTTATATGGTTTCTCTCTGGTCTGAGTCCTCTGGTGTTTCACCAGGTAGGAATTCTGACTGAAACTTTTCCCACAATGACATTTATATGGTTTCTCTTCTTTGTGAGTCCTCTGATGTCTCACCAGGTCGGAATTGCAAATGAAACGTTTCCCACAATATGAACACTCATAGGGTTTCTCTCCCGTGTGAGTCCTCTGGTGTATCACCTGGTCAAACCTTTGAGCGAAACCTTTCCCACAATCTGGACACTTATATGGTTTCTCTCCTGTGTGAGTCCTGTGATGTCTCACAAGGTGGGAATTTTGAACGAAACTTTTCCCACACTGCGAACACTCATATGGTTTCTCTCCTGTGTGAATCCTCTGAAGTTTCATCAGACACAAATTCTGACTGAAACTTTCTCCCCAGTCAAGACATTTATATGATTTGTCTCCTGTGTGAGTCCTCTGATGTTTCACCAGGTCAGATTTCCGAGAGTAATCTTTCCCACAATCAGGACACACAAATGATTTTTCTCCCATGTGAATCCTCTGGTGTGTCACCAGATTGGAATTCTGAGTGAAACATATCTCACAATCCGGACACTCATATGGTTTCTCTCCTGTGTGTGTCCTCTTGTGTATCAGCAGGTCAGATTTCCAAGTGAAACTTTTCCCACAATCAGGACATTCAAAGAGTTTCTCCCCAGTGTGAGTTCTTTTGTGTCTCACCATATTTGTGGTACATGCTAAATTAGTGGTGCATGCTAAATCATTTGCCACACTGGGAGCACTGGTAGGGTTTTTCTCCGGTATGGGTCCTTCCATGAATTATGAGGAAGCGCTTTTGAGTAAAACTTTTGCCTCACTCCAAATATTTTTCTGGGTTTTCACTGGGTGGATTCTTTCGTGCATAATCAGCTGTGATTGGCAATCTATGTTTTTCCCACAATAAGATGTCTATAGTTTTTTCCAAAACTGATATTCTTGGATACTTGAGGAGGTCAAAAATACTTCTGATCCCTTACCTGGAGGTACTTTAATTCAAGCCACTCTTCCCTTCATCAAAGGCTTTCATTAATTGCTGTCCATTTTGGCTATCCAAGGGACCTTTTCCTTCCCACTAAATTTCCAGTTATTTCCACTTTTCCTTTATTTCGATATTCTTCCCCTTGAGTTTTCATGTAATGCTTGCTTGAGTTCCACATACTTTATTTTTTCCAACTGAAAATATTGTTCTTGTTATTCTCTCCTTGATCTGTCATCTGCTGAGGAAGGAAAAGAGGAAGTGGAAAAAAATTTGATTGATGGCTTGTTTTGCATTGTAATACTGCTTCTCATTCTCTATTCTCCAGAGTGCTCTTTTTGGCATCCTGTTTCTCTGTAAGATTCATATTAACAGGTTAGTTTCATTACTCTTTAAAAAATGGCTGCAGGACATGTGAAAGCAGCAACTCCCCCCCCCTTATATTACCATGAAAGAACAAAGATGAAAATTCTAGTTTAATCTCTAACATTAATTATGATTAATTTGGCATGTAGAAGACTAGCAGATCCAAGTTCAAATATCAATCATAAAATTCTTTTTTTTTTTTGAGTGGCTAAATCACACATATATGCATGCCTAAACAAAAAGACTCCTTCATGGATTACTGCCTTGTCATGACGAAGGGGCTTGCATAATGAAGCTATGAGCTATGCCGAGCAGGGCCACCCAAGACAGACAGGTCATAGCAGAGAGTTCTGACAAAATGGGATCCACTGGAGAAGAAAATGGCAAACCATTCCAGTATCTTTGCCATGAAAACCCCATGGACAGTACCAAAAGGCAAAAAGATATGACACTGGAAGATGAGTCCTTCAGATCGAAAGGTGTCCAATATGCTACTGGGGAAGAGCAGAGGGCTAGTACTAGTAGTGCCAGAAAGAGTGAAGCGACTGGGCCAAAGCTGAAATGACACTCAGCTGTGGATGCATCTGTGGTGAAAGGAAAGTCTGATGCTGTAAAGATTTTTTCTCCATAGGAATCTGGAATGTAAGATCCATGAATCAAAGCAAACTGGACGTGGTCAAACAAGAGATGACAAGACTGAAAGACATCTTAGGAATCAGCAAACTAAAATGGACACGAATGGGTGAATTTAATTCAGAGGACCATCAGGTATACTAGTGCGGGCAAGAATCCCTCAGAAGAAATGGAGGAGCCTTCACAGTCAATAAAAGTGTAGCAAAAGCAATACTGGGATACAATCCCCAAAATGACAGAATGATCTCAATTCGAATCCAAGGCAAACCATTCAATATCACAATAGTCCAAATCTATGCCCCAACCATTGGTGCTGAAGAGGATGAAATTGACCAGTTCTATGAATCCCTACAGCACCTTATAGAATCAACACCCAAAAATTATGTCCTTATCATCATGGGGGATTGGAATGCTAAAGTAGGAAGCCAAAAGATAACCGGAATAACAGGCAAGTTTGGCCTTGGAGTACAAAATGAAGCAGGGCACGGGCTGATAGAATTTTGTCAAGAGAATACGATAGTCATAGCAAACACTCTTTTCCAACAACCCAAGAGACGGCTCTACACATGGACATCACCAGATGGTAAACACACAAATCAGATTGACTATGTGCTCTGCAGCCAAAGATGGAGAAGCTCTATACCAGTGGTTCTCAACCTGTGGGTTGGGACCCCATTTGGGGTCGAACGACCATTTCACAGGGGTCGCCAAACAATGCAGTCTGCCATTTTTCCCCCCTTTTCCTTAGCTGTGCTACTCCCTTTTATTCTATTGGCTTTTGAAAGCCAATAGAATAGACTCTCTTGAATAGAGTCTAATTCTATTGGCTTTCAAAAGCCTATAGGAATTGTCCAGGCTGTCTCTGCCCTGCTGAGCCCGCCAAAAGTCCCATTCTGCAAATGGTTCTGCACTAGTTCAGTAGTCCTCGACTTACAACCGGCTGAGTAGTCCTCGACTTACGACCAGTTGGGGGTCGCGGCATTAAAAAGGTTGAGAACCACTGCTCTATACAGTCAGTAAAAACAAGACCAGGAGCTGACTGGCTCAGATCATGAGCTTCTTGTTGCAAAATTTAAGCTTATATTGAAGAAAGTAGGGAAAAGCACTAGGCCACTCAGGTATGAACTAAATCATATCCCTGGTGAATATACAATAGAGGTGACAAATAGATTTAAGGAATTAGATCTGATAGACAGAGTGCCTGAAGAACTATGGATGGAGGTTCGCAACATTGTACAAGAGGTAGCAACTAAAACCATCCCAAAGAAAAAGAAATGCAAGAAAGCAAAATGGCTGTCTGAGGAAGCTTTGCAAATAGCTGAGGAAAGAAGGGAAGTGAAAGGCAAGGGAGAAAGAGAAAGATACACCCAATTGAATGCAGAATTCCAGAGAATAGCTAGAAGAGATAAGAATGCCCTCTTAAATGAACAGTGCAATGAAATAGAAGAAAACAATAGAATATGGAGGACCAGAGATCTCTTCAAGAAAATTGGAGATATGAAGGGAACGTTTTATGCAAAGATGGGTATGATAAAGAACCAAAATGGTAGGGACCTAACAGAGGCAGAAGAGATTAAGAAAAGGTGGCAAAATTACACAGAAGAACAATACAAGAATGACCTTAGTGTTCCTGATAACCACGATGGGATAGTCACTGACCTCGAGCCAGACATCCTAGAATGTGAAGTGAAATGGGCCTTAGGAAATCTGAGCAACAACAAAGCTAGTGGAGGTGACAGTATCCCAGCTAAGCTATTCAAAATCTTAAAAGACGATTCAGTAAAAGTGCTACACTCAATTTCCCAGCAAATTTGGAAAACTTAACAGTGGCCACAGGAATGGTCAGTTTACATTCCAATTCCAAAGAAAGGCAATGCCAAAGAATGTTCAAACTATCGCACCATTGCACTCATTTCACATGCAAGTAAAGTTATGCTTAAAATCCTACAAGCTAGACTCCAGCAGTATGTGGATCGAGAACTACCAGAAGTACAGGCAGGATTTCGAAGAGGCAGAGGAATTTGCCACATAACGCTGGATCATGAGAAAGCTAGGGAGTTCCGAAAAACATCTACTTCTGCTTCATTGGACTATGCTAAAGCCTTTGGATTGTGTGGATCACAACAAATTGGTGGCAATTCTTAAAGAGATGGGAATACCAGACCATCTTATTGTGTCTCTTTAGAACCCTATATCGGGTCAAGAAGCAACAGTGGAACTGGACCACTGAACCACTGATTGGTTCAAAATTGGAAAGGATCCGGCGAAGGCTGTATACTGTCGCCCTTGGCTATTTAGATTATATGGCAAAGCACATCATGAGAAAGGCAGGGCCAGATGAAACAAAAGTTTGAATTAAGATTGCCGGGAGAAATATCAACAACCTAAGATATGCAGATGATACCACGCTAATGGCAGAAAGTGAAGAGGAACTAAAGAGCCTCTTGATGCAGGTGAAGAAGGAGAGTGCAAAAGTTGGCTTGAAACTCAACATTAAGAAAACCAAAATCATGGCATCCGGCCCTCTCAATTCCTGGCAAATAGATGGGGAAGAAATGGAGGTAGTGACAGATTTTATTTTTCTGGGCTCCAAGATCACCTCAGGTGGGGACTGCAGCCAAGAAATTAAAAGACGCTTGCTCCTGGGGAGGAAAGCTATGGCAAATCTAGACAGCATACTAAAAAGCAGAGACATCACCCTGCCAACAAAAGTGCGTATAGTCCAGGCCATGGTTTCCCAGTTGCAATGTATGGCTGTGAAAGTTGGACCATAAGAAAGGCTGAGCGCCAAAGAATTGAGGCCTTTGAACTATGGTGCTGGAGAAGACTCCTGCGAGTCCCTTGGACTGCAAGGCGTTCAAACCAGTCAGTCCTAGAAGAGATCAACCCCGACTGCTCTTTAGAAGGCCAGATCCTGAAGTTGAAACTCAAATACTTTGGCCACCTAATGAGAAGGACGGACTCACTGGAGAAGGACCTAATGCTGGGAAAGACTGAGGGCAATAGAAGAAGGGGACGACAGAGAATGAGATGGCTGGATGGAGTCACTGAAGCAGTAAGCATGAGCTTAAATGGACTCCAGAAGATGGTAGAGGACAAGAAGGCCTGGAGGAACGTTGTCCATGGGGTCACGACGGGTCGGACACGACTTTGCAACAAACAACAACAAACAAAAAGAATTTATTTATGTAGACAATCTATCTCTATTTCAGTGTGCAAAATGTCCTAGAACTGCATTCACTCAAATTTTACCTAAATTTAGAAATGGGGGGACACTGACAGACGAAATGGTGCCACAATCCTATGCAAGACTTAAAGGTTGCTTCTTTGTCAGTTTCCTATCATTGTTTCTTGTCCTTCCCTCTGTTGCTTTGGAGAATAAATTGACCCCCCCCCTTTTTGTGGCAACCTCTCAAATATTGGAATACTGCTATTATGTCACCCCTGGTCTTTCTTTTCTCCAGACTGGCCAAACCCAAATCCTGCAACCGTTCTTTATATGGTTTAGCAACTGGGCCTTTAAATTTTACTCTCTCCCATCTCCCAGCCAAAAATTAGAGGCAGCAGATTTAAATAATGCAGCATAAGTGTAAAAGCGTTTGGGAACAGAAAGAAGCAGCTGACACGTTTCAGTCTAGTTGCTTCTCTGCTTTTACACCGTGGAGGAAATCAAACAGCCCGACTTGGAAAACAAGTTCTTTGTGGTAGCCTCTCAAATATTGGAACATTGGAATACTGTTATCATGTCATCTCCCATCTCCCAGCAGAAAATTACAGGCAGTTTTAATCATGCAGCATAAATGCAAAAACATTTGGAAATAGAAGGAACATGCAGCAGCAACTGATATGTTTCAGCCTTGCTGCTCGCTCTGCTTTTACACCGTGGAAGAAACCAGGCAAACCTATTTGCTCCCCCTCTCCTCCGACCTGCCCCCCACTCACCTTCCAGCTGCTGCTTCGTCCCTGGGAAGAGCACGAGAACCCTCTACATCTCTCCACCCTCCCGTGGATGACTCGGAAATTCCTCTGCCCGTCTCCTCCCCTCGACATCCTTTCTAGCAATACTCGCTGGTTTTAACTCTTTTCACCTCCCTCCGGTCGAATATGACAACTCAGCCACAGCTGATGCCGTTCTTAGATTGAAGGTTTTCCTGCTGCTGTTGTGTTAGAGCTCCACCTAGTGACGTGAGCCTTGAAATACGCTCATTCTGTCTCTATCCGGAGTTTCTAAGACTTTTTTCTAAATGAAGTGCCCTTTTCCACTCTTAGAGACCATATCCATAACTTTTCTCCAGGACGAACTAAGCCTAGTCTGTCATTTTGGGTCTCGAAGGAAGCCCTCATCGTCAATGTAACTGAGTCTAGCAGGCAACTTTGTCTCCCAAAAAGTAGAGAAGGGAACTAGAGGATTAGCCATATCGGACCTAACTCTCATTAACAGGGATGAAATGATAGAAGGTGTTGAAGCCACAGGAACCTTGGGGGGGGGGGGAGTGATCATGCAACATTGGAAGTCAACATTATGCAAGCACAAGCAATAGAACACAGTCAAACTAGAGTCTTGGCCTTCAAGAGAGCTAATTTCAATAAACCTAGAGTTTGGGAAGGATTCCATGGATGAGAATCCTCAAGGGAAAAACAACTCAAAAAGCTTGGAAAATTTTGAAAAGTGAGATAATAAAAGCCCAGGCTAGCACAATACCAATGAAGAAAAATAACAGCTCTCAAAAGAAACCAGCATTTATCTCTGATAAATCGAAAGACAAAAAAGGGACATGTATAACAAGTGGAAAGAGGGGTACATAACTAAGGCAGAATATCAGCAAATAGCCTGAGCATGCAAAGATGAAGTGAGGAAAGCTAAGGCTCAAAATGAACTAAGGCTTGCGACCAAAGTAAAAAATAACAAAAAAAGCTTCTTTTAACATGTAAAAAACAAGAAAGAAGTCAAAGAAATGATTGGCCCATTAGTGGGAGAAAGTGGCAAGAAGGTGACAAGCAGCAGGGAGAAAGCAGAACCATTTAACTCATTTTTTGCATCTGTCTTTACACAAAGGGAAAAAACAGACCAACTAATTAAAAACAGTATCGTAAAAAACAGATCAGAAACACAAGTTAAGATAAGCAAGAAAATGGTAAGTGAGCACCTGTCCAGCCTAGATGAGTTCAAATCACCAAGACCAGATGGATTATACCCCAAGGTTCTCAGGGAACTGGGAGATGTGATCTCAGAACCATTGAACTATATCTTCCAAAGACCCTGGAGCACTGGGGAACTACAGGAGGACTGGAAAAGAGCTGATGTAGTTCCCATCTTCAAAAAAGGAAAAAAAAATGGATCCAGGAAATTACAGGCCTATCAGCCTGACCTCAATATCTGGGAAGATCTGGAAAAAATAATCAAACTACGAATCAGCGAACACCTAGAGGAAAACGAAGTCATTACCAAAAGCCAACATGGGTTTGTCAAAAACAGATCATGCCAGACAAATCTTATTGCATTCTTTGACCAAGTGACAAAATTACTGGACCAGAGGAATGCTGTCGATATAATTTATTTGGACTTCAGTAAGGCATTTGATAAAGTAGATCACAACCTATTACTTGATAAGATAGAAAAATGTGGGTTAGACAGCATCACCACCAGCTGGATTCGTAGTTGGCTGACTCAGCGTGTAGTCCTCAATGGAACTGCATCTATATGGAAGGAAGTGAGTAGTGGGATGCCCCAGGGCTCTGTTCTGGGCCCAGTGCTCTTCAACATCTTCATCAATGATTTGGACGAGGGGATAGATGGGGAACTCATGAAATTTGTGGACGATACCAAGCTGGCAGGAATAGCCAACACTCCAGAAGACAGGCTTAAGATACAGAAGGATCTGGACAGACTTGAACATGGGGCACTATCTAACAAAATGAAACTCAATGCTAAAAAAGTAAGGTTCTACATTTAGGCAAGAAAAACCAAATGCACAGGTATAGTTTAGGACAGTGGTTCTCAACCTGTGGGTCAGGACCCCATTTGGGGTCGAATGACCATTTCATGGGGGTCACCAAACAACGCAATCCGCCATTTCCCCCCCCCTTTTCCTTAGCTGAATAGAGTCTAATTCTATTGGCTTTCAAAAGCCAATAGGAATTGTCCAGGCTGTCTCTGCCCTGCTGAGCCCGCCAAAAGTCCCATTCTGCAAACGGTGCTTGCAAAGTTGTCTGCAGCGAAGGCGAGCTGTCTGGAAGTTTCCACCCCTCCCTGCTGAGCAACTACTAAAAATGTAAGTAAAAGAGGGCCAGGGGTGGGAGGTGGGAGGCTGACGACGCAGGGAGGGTTGCTGGAGCGCGTGGGGCCCGGCGGGTGCCTTACCTCCTTGGGCTGGGCCAGGTGGTGACCCCAGCGGTGGCGCCCTGCACTGTCGCTGCCCCTTGCCAGCTACGCCTCGGCCGGCGCAGGGGGTGGCACCACGCATGCGCGGCGCTCCTGGGCAGGGAAAGTCCCTCGACTTACGACCGGTTGGGTAGTCCTCAACTTACAACCAGTTGGGTAGTCCTCGACTTACGACCGGTTGGGGGTTGCGGCATTAAAAAGGTTGAGAACCACTGGTTTAGATCTTGCAAAGCAAGCTCCTGGCTCAGTTCCAGTGACGATGAAGGCGTTTCTGCGAGACCTGAAAGGACAGCCTAGGATTAGATAGTCCTGGAGAAAAGTTATGGATGTGGTCGCTAAGAGAGAAAAATGCACTTTAATTAAAAAAAAACCTTAGAAACTCCAGAGACAAAATGAGCATATTTTCAGCCTAATGTCACAAAGTAGAGCTCTAAAACAACACCAGTGCCTGGAAAACCATCAATCTAATAACGGCAGCTGAGATTCGACATCCAACCGGAGGGAGAGCAGGCGAGGTGAAAGGAGTTAAAACCAGCGAGTATTGCTAGAAAGCATGTTGAGGAGAGGGGCAGACGAATTTGCTCTTCCGGCTCACCAGTATGAGGATGGAGGCATAGAGGCCTGTTCCCATGCTCTTCCCAGACCCAAAGTAGCAGCTGGAAAGTGAATTGAGGGCAAGTCAGAGAAGAAGCTGAGAGCAAGTAGGGCTGCCTGTTTTCTTTCATGGTGTAAAAGAAGAGAAGCAACTCAGCTGCTACATATTTCTTCCTATCCCAGATATTATTCAACTGGTGCTGTAAAACTAGACTCTATTCAAGAGAGTCTATTCTATTGGCTTTCAAAAGCCAATAGAATAAAAGGGAGTAGCACAGCTAAGGAAAAGGGGAAAAAAATGGCGGACTGCATTGTTTGGCAACCCCCGTGAAATGGTCGTTCGACCCCAAATGGGGTCCCAACCCACAGATTGAGAACCACTGATCTAAACCAAGGGAAAGCATCCATGGGAGGAACACAATGTGTCATCAGGCTACAACAAAACGCACCTCCCTTAGGGATCCGTGGAGACTATTCCAGTTAGTTGTTCATATTGGGGCTGCAGGATAATGCCCCAAAACTACCTTTGTGACTGAGGGAAGCTGGAAGAGTGAAGCCTGACCCTACTTAGTTTCACACGTTCAGCCAGGTGCTGCATCATAAAGGTTGATAAAGGTCTTGTTTGTACGTGCAGCCTTAAACACTTGCCAGCTTCATCCCATTAACAGAAAAATGAAATATGGGACAAAACCTTGAAGCACCCACCCAAACACATCTAGGGAAGAGATACTATTTTTCCATCTGCATTCTTGCAGGGCCTAAATCTCACTAGAGGGCGGAATTCCTCCGAGCAGCCTTCCCAATTTCCAGAGGAGTTTTGATTCCGGCATTGAATATTCCCAGGCAGTTTGGACAAAACATTCGGAGGGAGCTACAGTGGCTTTTAGAAAGCTGATCCGGAGCTTCAGTAGTTGGCTCTTAATTCCTCTCCCAGCCCCACAAAGGAGGAGGCCTGGAGATCACCCACTTGCCCATAACTCTCACCTGCTGGCCTGCTTGCCTGGAACTCCTACCTCTTTTCACATCACAATCACATCAGGTCCTCATTTAATGACCCACGGGGTCATGGAGTGGCAATAGCGACTGGAAACGCCAGGATTGCCCTCACTAAGCGATGTGGTTTAAATCCACATGAAACTGGTAGGGGAGGCCATCCATCCTATGATACGCAATTATCTACAGGTAGTCCTCAGTTTGCAGCACTTCATTTAGTGACCCATGTGACCAAAGGCATTGAAAAAAGTGGCATGACCATTTTTCACTTAAAGACCACTGCAATATGCCCATAGTCACGTAATCAAAAGTCAGATGCTTGGCAAGAGGGAGTCTTGCACATGGGTCAATCATGCCTAATAATAATAATAATAATAATAATAATAATAATAATAATAATAATAATAATAATAATAATAATAATAATAATAATAAGCAAGCAAGGGTAGTACCAATAGTCATAGGCTCCTTGGGTGCAATCCCAAAACAACTGGAGCACCACTTGAACCCAATTGGCATTGACAAATTCGCTATTAGTCAATTGCAAAAGGCGGCCTTATTAGGAACTGCTTCCATCCTGCGACAATATCTGTAATACCATCAAACATCCACCTCTGCCTATCCCAGGTCCTGGGTAAGGACTCGATAGGTAGACAAAATGCCAAATCCAGTCTGAACATCTGGCTGACTGTGCGATGATCCATAATAATAATAATAATAATAATAATAATAATAATAATAATAATAATAATAATAATAATAAAGTTGGAAGGGACCTTGGAGGTCATCGAGTCCAACCACCTGCTCAGGCAGGAAACCCTACACCATTTCGGACAGATGGCTGTCCAGTCTCTTCTTAAAAACTTCCAGTGTTGGAGCATTCACCGCTTCAGGAGGCAGGTTGTTCCACTGGTTAATTGTTCTAACTGTCAGGAAGTTTCTCCTTAGTTCTAGGTTGCTTCTCTCCTTGATTAGTTTCCATCCGTTGCTTCTTGTCCTGCCTTCAGGCGCCTTGGAGAATAGCTTGATTCCCTCTTCTTTGTGGCAGCCCCTGAGATATTGGAACACTGCTATCATGTCCCCCCTCATCCTTCTTTTTGTTAAACCAGACATACCCAATTCCAGAAACCGTTCCTTTTATGTTTTAGCCTCCAGTCCCCTAATCACCTTTGTTACTCTTCCCTGTACTCTTTCCAGAGTCTCAACATCTTGATCACATCCTGTTTGGATTTCTGCACTGGGCCACCCAGAAGCTTACAACTGGTCTAGAACACAGCAGTGCACACAGTAATGGGAGCCCCTAGGATGCCCGTGTAACTTCTTTGTGATGTGAGCTGCACTGGATTTGTTTGTTTAAGCTGCAATTGAAGATGCTGGTCATCACCTTTAAAGCTATTTCTTTATTACAGCAATAGCACTTAGAATTAATATTCCACCCCACGGTATTTTATAGCATTCTCACTTACAGAATTACTCCCCTATGTGTAACTGTACATGATTTATAAGGATAGCTCTACTTCTGAAATCTTTCCCACAAACAGGACATTCATATGGTTTTTCTCCTGTGTGAGTCCTCCAGTGTATCACCAGACTGGAATTCCGACTGAATCTTTTCCCACATTCGAGACACTCATATGGTTTTTCTCCTGTGTGAGTCCTCTGGTGCTTCACCAAGTCGGAATTTCGAATGAAACTTTTCCTACACACCACACATTCATATGGGTTTTCTCCTGTGTGAATTCTCTGGTGTTTCATCAGGTAGGAATTCTGACTGAAACTTTCTCCACAATCTGGACACTGATATGGTTTTTCTCCTGTGTGAGTCCTCTTGTGTATTACCAGATTGGAATTCTGAATGAAACTTTTTCTACAATATAAACACTCATATGGTTTCTCTCCCGTATGAATTCTCTGGTGTCTCACCAGTTTGGAATTCTGAGTGAAACTTTTCCCACAATCTGGACACTCATACAGCCTCTTTTCTCTGTGAATCTTCTGGTGCTTCGCCAGTTCAGATTTGCAACTAAAACTTTCCTGACATTCTGGACATTCATACAGTTTCTCATCTGTATGAGTCTTTTGGTGTATCATCAGATGGAAATTCCAACTGAATTTTTCCCCACAATCTAGGCACTCATATGGTTTTTCTCCAGTGTGAGTGTTCTGGTGTTGCACAAGGGTAAAAGTCTGACTGAAAGTTTTTCCACAATCAGGACACCGATATGATTTCTCCCCTGTGTGAGTCTTCTCGTGAATCACCAAGTTGGAATTCCGAGTGTAACTTTTACCACAGTCCAGACACTGATACCGTTTCTCCCCTGTGTGAGTTCTCTGGTGTACCACCAGGCGAGAATTCCGATGGAAAATTTTCCCACAATCTGCACACTTATATGATTTCTCTCCCATGTAAGTCCTCTGGTGTTTCATCAGGTAGGAATTCTGACTGAAACTTTTACCACAATCACATTTATACGGTTTCTCTCCTGTGTGAGTTCGCTGATGTTTCACCAGGTCGGAGTTGGAACAGAAACCTTTCTGACAATCTGAACACTCATACCGTTTCTCTCCCGTGTGAATCCTCTGGTGTTTCACCAGGTAGGACTTTTGATTGAAACATTTCCCACAATCACATTTATATGGTTTCTCTCCTGTGTGAGTCCGCTGATGTTTCACCAGGTCAGAATTGCAACTGAAACCTTTCCCACAATCTTGGCACTCATACGGTTTCTCTCCTGTGTGGCTCCTCTGGTGTATGACCAAGTAGTAACTCTGACTGAAACTTTTGCCACAATCTGGACATCTATATGGTTTCTCTCCTGTATGAGTTCTCTGATGTTTAACCAGGTCAGAATTGCAAGTGAAATCTTTCCCACAATCTGAACACTCATAGGGTTTCTCTCCTGTGTGAGTCCTCTGGTGTTTCACCAGTTGGGAATTCTGACTAAAATGTTCTCCACAATCACGACATTTATATGGTTTCTCTCCTGTGTGAGTCCTTTGATGTTTCACCAGGTCAGATTTCCAAGAAAAATCTTTCCCACAATCAGGACACTCATATGGTTTCTCTCCTGTGTGAGTCCTCCGATGTTGCACCAGGAGGGAATTCCAACTGAAACCTTTCCCACAATCTGGGCACTCATATGGTTTCGCTTCTGCGTGACTCCTCTTATGTCTTACCATATTAGTGTTCATGCTAAATCTTTTGTCACACTGGGTTGTCCGGTAGAGCTTCTCTCCTGTATGGGTCCTTCCGTGAACCATAAGAGAGCTACTCTGAGTAAAGCTTTTGCCAAACTCCAAACATTTGTATCGCGCTTCACTGAATGGATCGTCTCGTGCATAATCAGCTGTGATCTGCAACCTCTATTTTTCCCACATTAAGCAGTTTCTGGGGTTTTTCCATCACTACTATTCTTGGATTCTTGAGGAGGACAAAAATGTTTCTGATCTCTTTCTTGGAGGTTCTTTGAGTCAACTCACTCTTACCTTCCTGAAAGGATTTAATTAATGCCTGCCCATTTTGGCTATCCCAACGACTTCCAGTTATTTCCCCTTTTTCTTTATTTGGATATTATCTCCCTTGACTTCTCGTGTAATGTTTTGTTGAGTTGCACATGCTCTTTTTTTTCCATCTCAAAACTTTGTTCTTGTTATTTGCTTCCTTTTCTCTGATGAGAAAGGAGAAGAGTTTTCAATCTTCGTGCAGGAAGTAGAAAAGGTTTTGGGTGATGGTTTGTCTTGCATTTTAATGCTGCTTCTCGTTCTCTGTTGTGCAGAGTGCTCTTCTTGGCATCCTCTTTATCTGTAAGATTCATATTAATGGGTTAGTTTCATTATTGTTTAACAAATGGGCGCAAGACGTGGGAAAGCAGCAAAAAAGCCCCATATATTACCATGAAAACATCAAAATTCTAGTTTAACCTCTAACTGTCAATGCTGCTAACACAGGATATTTCCGCTCTGACAACTGATGAAAATGTAGCCATTTTCTCTATTCCTTTAACATGCTTTTTCTTACAGTTAATTTGGGGTGGGAGTTGTACTTTGTTACTTTGGGGGAAGAGAATTTAGTTTTTGAGTTCAACTATGTAGGGCCGATACTTGTATCCCGAATAAATGTACTTTCAGGAAGAATTTTGCCTCAAAGTTCTTTTGATGGGTTTCATCTATCGCACAGGTTGACAATCCGCAGCTCTGAAGCCGCATGCGGCACTTTCAGCCTTCTCCTGCGGCTCCAGGCTCCAGTCCTCCTCCGCCATTTGGAGACAGAGACAGGCACTTGCGCTTCGCTTCAATCTCTCTCTCTCTCTCTCTCTCTCTCTCTCTCTCTCTCTCTCTAATCTTCTGCTCACCTGGCCAGCCGGCGCCCAGGTACCCCGCCCCCTGGGAGAAATACGACCAGGAAGTCCCTTTCCTGGGCTGGCCTTGTCCAAGGCACACATGGCCGGGGAGCTGCACGGAGCAGCCCCAGGATCCCTCCTGGGAGCATTCCACTGGAGCCTTTGCTGAGTGAGCCAGCCCTCTCGCAAGCCACGGCTCCAAGGGAGTGCAGCCCCTGCGATCCTCATTCGGTGCTACTGTTGGCCCTGCTGGCTGGGAAGGCGCGCAAAGTCCCGGTTGCCGGGAAGGAAGAGGGAGACACAGCAAGGGCAGGAGAGGAGTGCCAATTTAAAGCCAGCCCAATAAGAATGTCCAGGTGAGCAGAAGATCGGAGAGAGAGAGAGAGAGAGAGAGAGAGAGAGAGAGAGAGAGAGAGAGAGAAGTGCAAGTGCCTCTCTGTCTCTCTGTCTCTCTCTCTCACACACATACACACACACACAAAGATGCTCAGTTTCAGATTACCATCTCTTGGATGGTAAATTTGCTTCCATAAATCAACAAGCAGGGGGTCAAGTTTGAGGCGGAGGGGGCAGGAATGAGCCCTGCCAATTAAAGATGCAAATTCCACTGGAGCAACTGAGCACCCCATTTAGAATGGAGAGTGCCGGTGCAAAGCAAAGGAAGGTTTGCAAAATGGAAAGCTTCTTCCCTTCACCAAGATTTAGAGCCGGTGGGAAGACAGTCCTGGCGGTACCTCAAGAGCTTTCATTGCTCAAACTGCCCCCAGCATCGCACTGCCCGGCAAATGCAATTGCTCAAAGGCTGGACAGGGTCAGGAGCCAAGGTGGGGTAGGGTGGGGAAAGAGAGAGTTGTTGAACTGAAGCAAGCGCTCTACAAAGGATTCAATCCCCCCCCCCAAAGTACATTCCCCTTTTATTCGGGGTGCAAAATGTGTCCGGTCCATGCCATGAGCATTTTCAAGACTTTGATGGGTAGACGCTTGGCTTGGCACAAAGGGTCTGAGAGGGGAATGGCGTGGAGGAAAGCTTTGCCGCCGCCACCACCATCAGTAAGGTTCCCAGCAAGTCTGCTTTGCCAAGGTAGCTCAACTCCATTACCGCTTCTGCCATTGCTGAGCTCTGGGGGGCCTCCTCCTCCTCCTGCTCCTCCTCCTCTGCACTGGCTACTTCTTATGGCAGAAAGCATGGCGCTGTAATCATGACCAAAAGCCTGGCATGAAAACTCACTGGGGGGGAACGCCAGGCACTGCTGCTGCTCAGGAACCAAAACGGTTCCAAGCGCGACTTAAGGGTGGGACTGCAGGAGGGAGGGAGGAAGAGAGAGGGAGAGAAGGGAAGCACAAGTGCCTCTCTCTGTCTCTCACTCTCTCTCACACTCACACAAACACACTGAGTGGGGGAAGAGGGCAGGAGAGACGCACCAGTGGAGAACCAGCTGAATAAGAATGTCCACGGTGTGTCAGCTGTGGTGGGGTGCCTGAGATGCAGCAGGCTCTTAAGGCAGCCGTGTTCATTTGTCCCATTCCATTCGGGCCAGTTTCTCCTCTTCTCGATCCCCATGAGACCAAGATAGAAAAACCTGTGTGTGGGGGCGCATGTGGCTGCTCGGACCAGATTAATGAATGAATGGACAGAAAGAGAGGGAGAGAGAATGAAAAAGAGAGAGAGAGAGAAAGAGAGAGAGAAAGAGAGAGAGAAAGAGAGAGAGAAAGAGAGAGAGGGAGAGGAAAGAGAGAGAGAGAAGGAGAGGGAGAGAGGAAAGAGAGAGGGAGAGGAAAGAGAGAGAAAGAGAGAGAGGAAAGAGGGAGAAGAAAGAAAAAGAGGAAAAAGAAAGAGGAAAGAGAGAGAGAGAGAGGAAAGATAAAAAAGAAAGAAAAGAGAGGGAGAGAGGAAAGAGAAAGAGAGAGGAAAGAGAGAGAGGAAAGAGAAAAAAGAGGGAGAGGAAAGAGAGGGAGAGAGAGGGAGAGGAAAGAGAGAGGGAGAGGAAAGAGAGAAAGAGAGGAAAGAGAGAAAGAGGGAGAGGAAAGAGAAAGAGTGGGAGAGGAAAGAGAGAGAGAACTCATGCACAGCAGCCTCTATTTCTTTTTAATTAAACTCTTCAATCAAGCTCCCCTCCTCTCATGCGCACTCCCAGAATTTTGCAGCTCCCAGTGTTTTCTTTTCTCTGGGAAACAGGTCCAAGTGGCTCTTTGAGTGTTTAAGGTTGCAGACCCCTGATCTATCAGAACCATGACATTAACATTATTTATGGTTGACTTGGCATATAGAACACCAGCAAAATTCAAGTTAAAATATTGATTTGTTTATAAAATTCACACATATACGCCCACAGAAATAGACACCTAAGAATTTACATATATTTCTGCGTCCATATGTCTACGTATATCAATCAGAACAGAGCTGGAAAGGACCTTGTAGGAATTCTAGCCCAAGCCCCTGCTCCAGCAGGAGACCCCGTATCATTTCAGACAACTGGCTGCCAGTCTCTTCTTAAAAACCTCCAGGGATGAAGCACCCACAACTTCTAGAGGGAAACTGTTCCACCAGTTAAATTGTTCTCACTGTTAGGAAATTTCTCTTTAGTTCCAGGTTGCTTCTCTCCTTGATTTCTTTCCACCCATCGTTCCTTATGTCGCCTTCTGCTGCTTTGGAAAACAAGTTGACTCCCTCTTCTTTGGGGAAACCTCTCAAATATTGGAACGTTGGAATATTGCTATCGCGTCATCTCCCATCTCCCAGCAGAAAATCACAGGCAGAAGTTTTAGTCATGCAGCATAAGTGCAAAAACATTTGGAAACAGAAGGAACATGCAACAGCAGCAGCAGCTGATGTTTCAGCCTTGTTGCTTGCTCTGCTTTTACACCGAGGAGGAAACCAGGCAAATCTACTTGCTCCCCGTCTCCTCCGACCTGCCCTCCACTCACCTTCCAGCTGCTGCTTCGTCCCTGGGAAGAGCAGGACAGCCGCTCTACATCTCTCCATCCTCCCATGGATGACTCGGAAGAGAAAATTCCTCAGCCTTTGTCCTCTCCTCGACGTCCTTTCTAGCAATACTCGATGGTTTTCATTTCACCTTAGCTCCTCTCCCTCCGGTTGGATGTCGCAACTCAGCCAGCAGCGATGCTGATTATGTTGACGGTTTCCAGGCGCTGTTGTTGTGTTAGAGCGCCACCTAGTGACGTGAGCCTGAAAATACGCTCGTTCTTTCTCCGGCATTTCTAAGATGTTTTAATGAAGAGCCGTTTTCCATTCTTAGCCACCACGTCCGTCACTTTTCTCCAGGACGATCTAGCCCTCGTCTGCCCTTTGGGGTCTCGCAGGGACGCCCCGCCCTCATCGTCACTGCAACTGAGCTAGGAGCTTCACTTCACTAAACCGAGGGAAAGCATCCGTGGGGGGAACACAGTGCCATTAGGCAAGAAGAAAGCACACCTCTCTTGGGGATCAGTGGAGTCTTCCAGCCAGTTCTTCATCAAAACTACCTTTGAAAGTGAGGGAAGCTCTAACAATGAAGATTAACCCTACCTAACTTGACAAGATTAGCCAAGTGCTGCATCATAAAAGTTCATAGCGTTTGCAGGATATTTTCATTGATTCCTTGGTTCCTTATGTGCCATCAAGTCGTATTCAACTCCCACCGAGCACATGAATAGCTTTCATCCATGACAATTGTTATGACAAGCAAAGTCAATGTAGAAGCCAGATTGACTTAATCACAATTTGATTAATTTAACAACTACTGTGATTCGCTCAAGAACTGCGACAAGGAAAGGTCGTAAAATGGGGCAAACTCACTTAACAAATGCTTCACTTAGCAAGAGAAATTTTGAGCTCAATTTTGATCGTAAGTCAAGGACTACCTGGAATGAAATACAGAATATAACCTTGAAGTGCCCACCCACATTGCTTTGAAACACAACTGGATAGCATATATTATTTTTCCACCTGCATTCTTGCAGGGCCTAAATCTCACTAGAGGGCAGAATTGCTCAGAGCAGCCTTCCCAATTCCCAGCCCATACCCCCTGAGTAGAAGTCGAAGGCCCCAGCGGAAGGTCAAAGTCCGGGGCCCCTGCCTGTTCCGCTTCTACCCTCTGGATCTGAAACCAGGTCTGTCGGACTGACGATCCTGTGTGGCCGTGAAGGGACGGGGAGGCTGTGAGACTCCAGAGCCTGTTCCTGGCTGAAAGGGCTGCCTGCGGGTGTACGGGTAAGCGCGCCTGTCAGTCCGCCTGTTGAGATGTGTCATGACCTTCCGCTTATCCTTATTTTCAATCAAATAAGGATTCAGGACCTCTCCAAATAAATGCCCTCCTTGATAAGGGGCCGCAGCCAGGCACCAGTATCAAGCTCTACGGGGCTTGCCATTTGCTGGTGGGGGGAAGTTAGAAGACGACACACCACCGCTGTTCCAAGCTGCATCTCTGCCCCAACACCTCGCTTTTCAGCCGGCCGCAGTGGGAACCAGGCCCGGAAGCTCTGCCGACCAGCTGGGCGTCGGGAGCCGGCGGGATGCCCCCGAACACGGCCGCGCAACGTCTGGCAACCCCAAGCTAACCCAGATTGAAGCGCAGCCGAGCAACCCAAGACTCGTTGCCCCGCCTTTCAGCTGGTAGCTGTGGAAGTCAAGCCCAGACGCCCCGCCAATCAGCTGGGCGTCGAGAGCTGGCGGGACGGCAAGAGGAGTGAGTCAGTTGGGAAACTACCGCAGGGACCGCTCTCCACGGAGAGCTGCAAGGCACAAACAGACTCACCATTGCTGAAGGAACCGGAACACGATGCAGCAGCAGACGGCTCTATCTTGATCAGTCAGAAGGCTGGACAGAGAGGCGGGGTTCAGCAGGAAGAGGACTGGGGCCAGACAAATGGACTTTTAAAGGCAGCCGGGCGGATGGTGGTTTCTGGGTGGAGGGTGGGGTTTTGGGTGTGGCACTGTTATAAGAAGCACTGGGAGCAAACCACTTTGTTGTGCAGGAGAAAAAGATCTGGGCGACTCGGCTGGTGCACAACCTGGGGGTCCTCCTGGACTGACAGTTCCTGCTTCAGGAGGCCATGCTGGGGGAGGGACTTTGCATAGATTGCACCAATCCTGCCCTTTCCTGGAAAGAGAGGCCTTGCACATGGGTCACTTGTGCCTCGGTCACCCGTTTGGATCACTGCACTGGACCACCCAGAAAGTTTAACTGGTTCAGAACGCTGCAGCGCACACGGTAATCGGGGGCCCTAGGTTGCTCATGTAAATCTTTGTGGTGCATGTTGCCCTGGATTTGTTTTTTTAAGATGCAATTCAAGATGCTGGTCATCACCTTTAAAGCTATTTATCATAGCAATAGCTCTTAGACATATATACCACCCCACAGTGCTTGATAGCACTCTCAATTTCCAGAGTCAGCATATTGCACCCAACAAACTGGGTCCTATTTTACTCATCTCGGAGAGATAGTGTCAACCTTGACCTCCATCAGGATCAAACTTCAGGCTGTGGGCAGAGTCAACGGGCAATGCTGCATTGTAACCACTGACACAATAGGGCACCTGTCATTATTGTCCCACCTTTATTATTTTTGCATCTATCTGTTGTACAAGGTCAAACAGGGTGTTCGCACTCCTAGCCCCTTCCCTTAAATATTGCCATCTGATAGGAGCTAGGAAGTGAGCCTTTTCTGTTGCAGACCCTGCCCAATGAAACACTCTTCCCCTGAAGTGTGGAAGGCCTTTATCCTCCATATCTTCCATAAAGCAAGGTAGATCCAGTTTTCCCCCTAAGCACTGGGATAAGAAGAGGCGCCTGCACGTCAGAAGCCTGAATTGAAACCAGGTTTTTGTTTATATGCATTTGGTTTTAATAGTTAGTTTAGTTTATTGATTAGTCCATAGGCCATATCGGAATACAGAATTCCAAACATCAATTATTAATAAAACCCTATAAAAATAAATTAAAATGAAATTGGAGTAAAATACAACAATATGATACATTGATAAGTGAAATAAGATAGAATTATATCTCAGTATCACCCCTAAAATCTACCCCAATCAGTCCCACATATGCTGATCTCAGCCAAACCATTTTACTCAAGTACTCTGCCACATTAAACGTTTTCAAATTCTGGCCGCACATAAGATATATTGTATTAACATGGGGCTCCCAATGGATAGTTAGAAGGTCAGGAGGCCTGGTTAACTTCTACGTTGAACAAATGAATCACCTTGTTGGGACTCCCAGACCATCAAATTGCCATCAACCTTGCTAGAGGTGCCATGTATTGTAGAGCCAGTGCATGTTAACCGTGGAGGCTTTTCATTTTGCCATTTGCAATATATGGGCTTTATTGCTGTCTGTATTCAGGCTTTATTGCTGTAAATTCTGTGGAGTCACCATTAGGTGGGATGCCATATACATTTTCTTAACAAATAAAGATACATACCCCATGCTTATTATATGTAGAAATAACATAAGGTGGCAAAGATACCTAATACAGATCTAAGCTCGCTTTCTCTGGCCCAAAACAACAGTTCACCATGGCTCTGTGAAAGGGAACGACTGCACTGGCCCAGACGAAGCAAGCTGAGATTTCTTCCCTCATGTTTAATAAAACATGCTTGACTAAAAAGAATCATGCAAGGAATTAATAATTTCTCAGCTAGGCTTCCAGTAAGAGACAAGAAACAAAATTCAAGATCAAATTTTTCCTCATGTGGAATTTCTTCTATAATAAGAGAGGAATTTACTGCAAAACACTGTCCATAATCTGGGCATTTGAATGGTTACTCTGCTATGTGTAACTTTACATGATTTATAAGCTTATACTTACTACTGAAATCTCTCCCACAATCTGGGCACTCATATGGTTTTTCTCCCGTGTGAATCCTCCTATGTATTACCAGGTCAGCATTCCGGATGAATCTTTTCCCACAATCTGAACACTCATATGGTTTTTCTCCTGTGTGAGTTCTCCTATGTATTACCAGGTCGGAATTCCGGATGAATCTTTTCCCACAATCTGGACACTCATATGGTTTTTCTCCTGTGTGAGTTCTCCTATGTATTACCAGATAGGAATTCCGGATGAATTTTTTCCCACAATCTGGACACTCATACGGTTTTTCTCCTGTGTGAGTCCTCCTATGTATTATCAGGTACGAATTGCGGATGAATCTTTTCCCACAATCTGAGCACTCATATGATTTTTCTCCTGTGTGAATCCTCTTGTGTATTACCAGGTCGTAATTCTGGGTGAAACTTTTCCCACAATCTGGACACTCATATGGTTTCTCCCTCGTGTGAATCCTCTGGTGTATCACCAACTTGTAATTAAGTCTGAAACTTTTCCCACAATCTGGACACTTATATGGTTTCTCTCCCGTGTGAATCCTCTGGTGTACCACCAGGTCAGAATTGAAAGTGAAACCTTTCCCACAATCTGAACACTCATATGGTTTCTTTCCTATGTGAGTCGTCAGATGTTTCACCAAGTGGGATTTGTAACCAAAACCTTTCCCACAATCTGAACACTCATATGGTCTTTCTCCTGTGTGAGCCCTCTGGTGTATCACCAAGTTTGAATTCTGAATGAAACTTTTCCCACAATACAGACACTCATATGGTTTCTCTCCTGTGTGAGTCATCAGATGTTTCACCAGGTGGGATTTGTGACCGAAACCTTTCCCACAATCTGAACACTCATATGGTTTTTCTCCTGTGTGAGTCCTCTGATGTATCACCAGGTTTGAATTGCGACTGAAACCTTTCCCACAATCAGGACACTCATGGGATTTCTCTCCCGTGTGAGTCCTTCGATGTTTCACCAGGTCAGAATTGCAACTGAAAACTTTCCCACAATCCGAACACTCACACGGTTTCTCTCCCATATGAGTCCTCTGGTGTTTCACCAGGTAGGAATTCTGACTAAAATGTTCTCCACAATCATGACATTTATATGGTTTCTCTCCTGTGTGAGTCCTTTGATGGTTCACCAGGATGGATTTCCAAGAAAAATCTTTCCCACAATCAGGACACTCATATGGTTTCTCTCCCGTGTGAGTCCTCCGATGTTGCACCAGGAGGGAATTCCAACTGAAACCTTTCCCACAATCTGGGCACTCATATGGTTTCTCTTCTGCATGAGTCCTCTTGTGTCTTACCATATTAGTGTTCATGCTAAATCTTTTGTCACATTCGGTCGTCTGGTAGAGCTTGTCTCCTGTATGGGTCCTTCCATGAGTCGTAAGGGAGCTATTCTGAGTAAAGCTTCAAACTGCAAACATTTGTATCGCTTTTCACTGGGTGGATCGTCTCATGCATAATCAGCTGTGATCTGCAACTTCTATTTTTCCCACATTAAGGGGTTTTTCCATCACTACTATTCTTGGATTCTTGAGGAGGACAAAAATGTTCTGATCTCTTTCTTGGAGGTTCTTTGAGTCAACTCACTCTTACCTTCCTGAAAGGCTTTAATTGATGCCTGCCCATTTTGGCTACCCCAATGACTTCCAGTTATTTCCCCTTTTTCTTTATTTGGATATTATCTCCCTTGACGTCTCGTGTAATGTTTTGTTGAGTTGCACATGCTCTATTTTTTCCATCTCAAAACTTTGTTCTTGTTATTTGCTCCCTTTTCTCTGATGAGAAAGGAGGAGAGTTTTCAATCTTCGTGCAAGAAGTAGAAAAGGTTTTGGGTGATGGTTTGTCTTGCATTTTAATGCTGCTTCTCATTCTCTGTTGTGCAGAGTGCTCTTCTTGGCATCCTCTCTATCTGTAAGATTCATATTAATGGGTTATTTTCATTATTGTTCAACAAATGGGTGCAGGACATGTGAAAGCAGCAAAAAAGCAATATATATTACCATGAAAACATCAAAATTCTAGTTTAACCTCTGTCAACGCTGCTAACATTGGATGTTTCCGCTCTGACTGATGAAAATGCAGCCATTTTCTCTATTCCTTTAACCTATTCTCCAAAACGCCTGAAGGCAGGACAAGAAGCAACGGGTGGAAACTAATCTAGGAGAGAAGCAACCTAGAACTAAGGAGAAACTTCCTGACAGTGAGAACAATTAATCAGCGGAACAGCCTGCCTCCAGAAGCAGTAAATGCTCCAACACTGGAAGTTTTTAAGAAGAGACAGGACAGCCATTTGTCCGAAATGGTGTAGGGTTTCCTGCCTGAGCAGGGGATTGGACTAGATGACCTCCAAGGTCCCTTCCAACTTTACTACTATTACTAACAGGCTTTTTCTTACTTTAGAAATTAGGGGCAGCAGAGAGGGGGGAATTGGAATGTAAGCTCAGCTAGCCATAATAATAACACTGCTGTGGGAATCCAAGGACAAGTTGTCCGGCTGTGGAGCTGAAGAGAAAGCAGTGCTTTAAGCTAATTGGGTAATGTGATTTATGACAGTTAATTGGGGGTGGAAGTTGTACTTTGTTACTTTGTATCTGAGGGAAGGGAATTTAGTTTTTGGGTTCAACTATGTAGGGCCGATACTTTGTATCCCGAATAAATGTACATTAAGGAAGAATTTTGCCTCAAAGTCCTTTTGATGGGTTTCATCTACCGGAACCATGACATAAACATTATTTATGATTGACTTGGCATATAGAAGACCATCAAGATTCAAGTTAAAATATTGATTTGTTTATAAAATTCACACATATTCGCCCACAGAAATAGACACCTAACAATTTACATATTTCTGTGTCCATATGTGTATGTATATTGATAAATACGTATCAATATGATAAATCTTCAGAGTCAGTTAAACCTACAATACAATGGAAACTAATTGAATAGAAAATAAGTACAATTGGTGGGGAAAAGGAAAAGATAATACAATGGAAGTAAGATAAACACATAGGCAAAAATAGCTGGGTCTTAGAGTGGGAAAGGAAGAAGACAAGCTATAAAAAAATTAGCTATAAGAGGAAACGGCTAGCCAGGAAAGGCACACTGAATTGAAAAACAGGAAAAAAAATTATTGTTCTAAAAAAAAGGGGACATAAATATCTACAGTTTAAAATAAACATTTAAAAGTCTAATTTTTCTTATTATTATTGTATATGTGAATATGATTTAATATGTTATCACAGGAGTATCAAACTCAATTTCACTGAGGGCCGCATCAGCATTGGGGTTGCCCTGGGGGGGGGTGGCCTGCTGGGTGGGCGTGGCCAGAGTGGGTGTGGCCTGCTGGGCGGGCATGGCCAGTTCTACATCATTTGGGTCAAGGGTGCCTGTGGGGGTCTGGGCAGGAGTGGGACAGATCTGAGGGTCTCTGGCAGAAGGGGGTGGGACCGGGGCAAGTGCCAAAATGGCCAACACAAAATTGTACATTGGCTCCCAGCTGGCCTGGGCCAGGGCCAAGGCAGTGGGGCCCATTTCCTCACTGTTTCCAGGATGGCTTCGTGGGCTACATGAAACCACTTCGGATCTGGAACTGTTACAGCCGGGGACAGGGGGACTGCATAAAAGAAGGGAATATTTTGGGTTAAAACTTTGAAGAGAACCAAGCTTTGAAAGCTTCTCTTCCACTTATTGCAATAAACAAAACAAAAAGTGTTCACTGTGTCTTAGCTGGTTATTGGTCAGGCGAGCTTGCCTCTGGTCATGAAGGAAAGTAGCCAGGAGCACATAACATATATCAATCAGAATAGACCTTGTAGGAATTGTAGCCCACCCCCCTGCTCAAGCAGGAGACCCCGTATCATTTCAGACAAGTGGCTGCCAGTCTCTTCTTAAAAACCTCCAGGGATGAAGCACCCACAACTTCTAGAGGGAAACTGTTCCACCGGTTAAATTGTTCTCACTGTTAGGAAATTTCTCTTTAGTTCCAGGTTGCTTCTCTCCTTGATTCCTTTCCACCCATCGTTCCTTATGTTGCCTTCTGATGCTTTGTGGCAGCCTCTCAAATATTGGAACACTGGAATACTGCTATCGTGTCATCTCCCAGCAGAAAATCACAGGCAGAAGTTTTAGTCATGCAGCATAAGTGCAAAAACATTTGGAAACAGAAGGAACAAGCAGCAGCAGCAGCAGCAGCAGCAGCAGCAGCAGCAGCAGCAGCAGCCGATATTTTCAGCCTTGTTGCTTGCTCTGCTTTTACACCGTGGAGGAAACCAGGCAAAACTACTTGCTCCCCCTTTCCTCCGACACGCCCCCCACTCACCTTCCAGCTACTGCTTTGTCCCTGGGAAGAGCACGAGAGCCGCTCTACATCTCTCCACCCTCCCGTGGATGACTCGAAAGACGACGTCCCTCAGGCCTTGTCCTCTCCTCGACGTCCTTTCTAGCAATACTCGATGGTTTTCACTCCGTTTGACGTTAGCTGCTCTCCCTCCGGTTGGATGTCGCAACTCAGCCAGCAGCGATGCTGATTATGTTGACGGTTTCCAGGCGCTGTTGTTGTGTTAGAGCGCCACCTAGTGACGTGAGCCTGAAAATACGCTCGTTCTTTCTCCGGCGTTTCTAAGATGTTTTAATGAAGAGCCGTTTTCCGTTCTTAGCCACCACGTCCATCACTTTTCTCCAGGACGATCTAGCCCTCGTCTGCCCTTTGTGGTCTCGCAGGGACGCCCTCATCGTCACTGCAACTGAGCCAGGAGCTTCACTTGCAGGCACTAAACCGAGGGAAAGCATCCGTGGGGGGAGCAGAATGTGACATCAAGCAACAAGAAAGCTCACCTCCCTTGGGGATCAGTGGAGACTCTTCCAGCCAGTTCTTTGTCTTGGGGTGCAGGATAACCCCCCCCAAACTACCTCTGCAACTGAGGGAAGCTCTAAGGGTGAAGCCTGACCCCACTTAGCTTCCCAAGATTAGCCAGCTGCTGCATCATAAAAGTCGACCAAGGTCTTCTTTGTACATGCAACCTTAAAAAATTGCTAGGTTCATGCCATTAATAGAATACAGGTAGTCCCCAACTTACAACAGTTTGTTAAGTGACTGTTTGAAGTTACAAGCGCAGTGAAAAAAGTGAATAATGACCAGTTTTCACACTTAGGACTATTGCAGCATCCCTGTGGTCACGGAATCAAAATTCAGCCACTTGGCAAGTGATTCATATTTATGATGGTTGCATTGTTCTGGGGTCATGAACTTCTGACAAGCAAAGTCAACGGGGAAGCCAGATTGACTTAATCACAGTTTGATTAATTTAACAACTACTGTGATTCGCTCAAGAACTGCGACAAGGTCGTAAAATGGGGCAAACTCACTTAACAAACGTTTCACGTAGCAACTTTGGGCCCAGTTGTGGTTGTAAGTGAGGAGTACCTGGAATGAAATACAGGACAAAACCTTGAAGTGCCCACCAAGGTTGCTTCCAAACACATCTAGATAGGAGATACTATTTTTCCATCTGCATTTTTGCAGAACCTACATCTCACTAAATCAGCGGTTCTCAACCTGTGGGTCGGGACCCTATTTGGGGTTGAACGACCAGTTCACGGGGGTCGCCAAACAACGCAGTCCGCCATTTTTTTCCCCCTTTTCCTTAGATGTGCTACTCCCTTTTATTCTATTGGCTTTTGAAAGCCAATAGAATAGACTCTCTTGAATAGAGTCTAATTCTATTGGCTTTCAAAAGCCAATAGGAATTGTCCAGCTGTCTCTGCCCTGCTGAGCCCGCCAAAAGTCCCATTCTGCAAACGGTGCTGCACCAGTTGAGTAGTCCTCGACTTACGACCGGTTGAGTAGTCCTCGACTTACGACCGGTTGGGGGGGGTCGCGGCATTAAAAAGGTTGAGAACCACTGCACTAAAGGCTGAAATTCTTTCCAAATTTCCAGAGAAGTTTGATTCCAGCATTGAACATTCCCAGGCAGCTTGGGCAAAACATTTGGAGATTGTTAGTTTGAAGAAAGCTGATCTAAAGATTTCTGTGCTTTAGTAGTTGGCGCTCAGTTGCCCTCAAAACTTCTCTACATCCCCAAAATTTATAACTGATTTCTTGTGGCTCTCAAGAATTTAGGACATGGAAGCACCAGCATTTCAGGGGATCCAAGGGGACTAGGCTCACTCCTGCAGGCCAGGGCTGATTTTAAGTCTGTTAAATGTGAGGCAATTCAAAAGCCAATAGGAATTGTTCAGGCTGTCTCTGCCCTGCTGAGCCTGCCAAAAGTCCCATTCTGCGAACGGTGCTGCAAGTTGTCTGCAGCGAAGGAGAGCTGTCTGGAAGTTTCCACCCCTCCCTGCCGAGCAACTACTAAAAATGTAAGTAAAAGAGGGCCAGGGGTGGGAGGTGGGAGGCCGGCAGGTGCAGGGAGGGTTGCTGGCACGCGTGGGGCCAGGCGGGTGCTTTACCTCCCTTGGGCTGGGCCAGCTGGTCTCTGCCGCTTGCCAGCTACGCCACGGCCGGCGCAGGGGGCGGCACCACGTATGCGTGGCACTCCCAGGCAGGGAAAGTCCTCGACTTACGACCAGTTGGGTAGTCCTCGACTTACAACCAGTTGGGTAGTCCTTGACTTACGACTGGTTGGGGGGGTCACGGCATTAAAAAGGTTGAGAACCACTGATCTAGGGCTAGGCAAACATTTCCCTTCCACGTTGCTCATATCTGTGCAGTATGCTCACATCTTAGGGTATTGCTGGAGGAGATAGAGAAGAAAGATAAAAGAGACATTGAAGTTTATAGGAGATAAATGAGTGGAAATCTTAGACAGAAAGTCTGCTGGGGGTCTTTAGGCCAGTTCCTCTCCCAGCCCCTGAAAGGTGGAGGCCTGGAGACCACCACCTGTCCATAGCTTTCACCTGCTAGCTTGCTTGCCTGGCACTCCTACTTCTTCCCACATCACAATTACATGAGGTCCTCACTTAATGACCCATGGATCTTAGAGTGGCAATAATAACTGGAACTGCCAAGATTGTCCTCACTAAGCAATGTGGTCACCTGATGTCACTTTTTATAACCCCATTGCATAGCAATGAAAACCTGGGTGCCAATTACTATTACAACCCAAGAACTACCCATATTTCTTTCCCAAGCTGCGGAGAGGGCTGGAAATTTCCCTCTTTCTGGACTGTTGGCATCCTAGGCTGCTTTTTTACTTTTGTTGAAAGAAAAGTCTTCATCATGGTTCAGTCCAAGCTGGGAATAAACAACATGGCGACTGCTTTAGAAAGAAGGTTGCAGTTTATTGAAGATGAGAGTTAGATAAAATGTTGGCTCTGGAAGAAAAAAGAGCAAGCACATATAGGGAGTGGATTTTTATACCCTCTGGAGCCTTTTGTTTGGAGTTGTTCTTGTGGCATGAACTTTGACCTGAGTCCGAATGTGCCTTTTGGTATCTGTGGGTTAATCCTATTATGTCCTGTCTTAGAGTTTGGGTGGGGTATGTATATTTTGGGTGTCTTTGTCTTCCTAAGCTTCTAGCTAGAGGACTATAACCTTCCTGGATTATTTACATCTGTATTTCTACAGAGCTTGTTTATGCCTGGGGGAGGGAGACTTGGGACTATTAAGAAAACTGGACATGCTTTTCTACCTCTTTAAGATCCTTTCAGAAAATGTATTTTTCTGACTTCTAATATTTCCTTCTCTGGGGGGGCTGACTTCCCACTTTCAACAGCAGTTTACTATGCAGAAGAAAATCATGAGAGGTTTTCCTGGCAGAGGATTTCAAGGCATCTCAGCAGATTAAGATGTTTTGTAAGTGCGTCTGAAGAGGACAATGAAAGGTTGGCGGCCTGGAACTTCGACTCACCCTCTGCTTGCAGCTCTGACTTTGCCACCCAAAGAAAGGGCTGTGCAGGAGAAAAAGATCTGGGTGACTCAGCTGTTGCACAACCTGGGGGTCCTCCTGGACTGACGGCTCCTGCTTGGGGAGGCCATGGCTGGGGGAGGAGCTTTGCATAGATTGTGTCAAGCCCCTAAAGGCTTGCCATACGAACGGGGACGGGGGAGCACGGATAACGACCTACCAACCCGGGAAACAGCTGAACATTGCCCCGCCACGCCCCATGACTGCACCAGCCGAACGTCAACTGAGCAGACATCTCCGCGGGCTGCGCCACAGACGCCAGCGAAGCCTAAGGGAAGCCAGTCACCGACGGGGTCGGAGGACCATGAATGCCAGCTGCGCTTTACGGAAGGGAGGGCGATGGACGGGCCATCTGGGGCCGAAAGGACTGCACTCCGGCGGCCGGACCCAGCAAAGGGGGGTGGGGGGTTATCCTTTCGCACCCGGGACAGTAGGCAGGGTAAGATTGGCGGCGGGCAACTGACGCGCAGTTCGGGCGCACGGACAACGGGGGGTGGGGGCGGAGTTCCGTCGGGGAAAGAGAAAGCACAGGGAAAGGGTGGAGCATTTATTCATTTGAAGCGGATGGTGGTTTGGAACCGGGGGCGGACCCAAAGGGTGGAGCACGCCAATATATGGCGGTGGGAGGTAACTAACACCAGTGCTGACGTTGTCTCACCTGCATAATAAAGTGCTTGTTGGGTGTCAGTGTGTGCCGGTCTTCTTTGCCTTCGCGCTACGGACGACATCGGATATTCTGACAAAAAGTCAGCACTCCACACTCTTCTAACGTTTCCCCAGCCTCCTGCTCCCACGTGCAGAGGGAACGCAGGGCCCCGCCCTGGCCGAGGGAGAGGTGGCGACCGACGGGGCTGCGGACGCGGTCCCGGCGGCGGAGGCGGCGCCAGCCCAGCCAGCGGTGCGGCCCAAACTGCTACTGTCTGCGGTCCCAGGACTCGACGTGGGGGAGGTAGGGGCCGCTAAGCCACAGGAGGAGTGGTGGCAAAGCCCGGCAGTAACGGGATTGCAAACCGAACAGTTAATAACGCCGAAGCCGAAGCCCAGTCTTTCGGGGTGGAGGGAGAGACGCGCCACCATGGAGGATGATGAAGACTGGAGCTACTCCACGGCCCCGGGCCAAGAGACCATGGATATATTGCGCCATCGGTTTGGCGAAGCAAGCTACAGGGGCGCCGCCGATGTGTGGCGATCGGAAGGGGATGCTGCGGGCCGCACCCCCTCATCTAGGTTCCGCCTGAGTAGTCCGCGGCTGCGGCTGCCTACTCCCACGGGTGGGTTGGGAACTCTGGGTCTCCCTTCAAGCAGGCTACCGGGCCAGGCGCACTCAGCTCAGCCGGACGGGCCCCGGGACGGGGCAAAAGGTTCAGCGAGGCCAGGGGGTGTGGAGCAGCAGGGCTTCACGGCCGGGTATCCGAACCTTGGGCCAGGCCACCCCCAGGGGCCGTGGGGGCCAGGCTATCCATGGGGGGTTCCTCCTATCCCGGTCACCTTTGATGGGAACCCCGACCACCTGGCAATGTTCTTAGGCCAGGCCATAAGTCATCTGGACCAGTTTGCACAGCTGTA